TCCCGAACATTGATAATTTAAAAATGTTCCTGTTGTGGGTGTGTTTTTCATATGTTGCTTTATATATCTCGCACTTACATGTATTTAAAACTCATGCTGCTGTTGTGAGTTTTATTAACATTACTTACACTTGCACATGGACGTGTTATTGTGTGATATCGCCTGAGTTACCAGACTGAGTTGAATGTACCTCACACGCCTAAGTTTTATTAAGGTTTATAACCCGGTTGGGTGGAAACAGAACAAAGTGTGTACGCTTCTTGAGTAATGAACAAGACTTTAACAAGGGGTGGACTTGGATGGGCATTGAGCCTGCAACGCTGATATAGAGAGGTTGAGGTGTGAGCAGAACATTTTTTAGCATTAATTTTAACACTAATACAGTTTTTGATGTATAAAGATAATCTGAAGATGCTGATGATATTCAAGACAATGTATGATGTCTTGCTTCAGTTTGTGTCTCTAGTTTACTTCACAGAAACACAATATCACATTCAATAGGCTTGTGAAATTAGCTAAAGAAACTGATACAGTTTTTTGTATCAGGCTGTGAACATGATTATTTCTGCTGAAAAGTTGGATATTTTAACATGGGGTCTATGGGGACTGACTGGCTTCTGAAGCCAGCCTCAAGTGGACATTCAGTTAATTTGTTTTTGGCACTTCAACGGTGGCTTAATTTTTCAGCCCCAGAGGCTGCTGCTTGGTTCCTGCTCCATCTTCCTCCATCCTTTCCCTGTCTTGTCAGAGTCATGTCCACTTGTCGAGTAAGGATTTAACAACTCAACAATTTAACAAATCATTTTTGCCATAATGCAAAAAAAAAGAAAAATGAAAAAACTGGAGTAGTCTCGAATACAGGTGTAGACCCAGGACACGCATGAGGGATTACATATCTCATCTGGCCTGGGAATGCCTTGAGGTCCCCCTGGAGGAGCTGGAAAGTGTTGCTGGGGAGAGGGACATCTGAGGTGCTTTGCTCAGCCTGCTGTCCCCACGACGTAGCTCAGGATAAGCGGATGAAAATGTATGGATAGATGGAATAGAATAGGCAGAGGAATATGATTTTTTTCACACCCATAGGACGTTATATAAACTATTATTAATGGCGGAACAGGGCTCCAATAGTGGCCGATGGTTGTAAATTCCACTAGTCACATGGGTGCGGCCGTAAGACTTTTGCAGGAAGTTCCCCACATGCAAAGTGAATGTAATGTATGCTTTAGATAATTTGTATGATTTAAATAAAGTTTACTAATGTAGGACCACTTTACTTCGTTGTTAGGGGCATTATGAGGTTGCTGGTTAAAGTTAAAATCACAACACTGATTGAAACACTAGATGTCAAATGTTATATCTGCCCCCACATGCAAGAGCAATCGTAACACCATATGGGGTATGGGAAGCATTTTATCAAACATAATTCAACATCTTCAACTCTGTACAAATATGCGTCTAAAGCTCTGGCTTTTTTCTGTCTGCACAAAACAAAACTTACCCACTTCAGCACCGCTGCTGGAAAAAATCCTCGGGGAAACACTGTCCTGAATCTACTATCAACATTTATCTTTTTATTTCATTTCAACATAAAACACAAAACATGCAAAAACATAGAATATAACTTTGAAGAAAGAATAGTCTGCCAAAACATGTAAAAATTTGGAAAGAAAACATTTATATATTTTTCCAATATAAAATTTGTTTACAGTGATGATGATGATGATGATGATGATATTTACAGCAAGACAGGACAGAACTAGAATTACTGCCCCACAATTTTATGCCACTGTGCACCAGTCAAGTTTGTATTACAGTTTACATCCATGTCTGTGAAAACATACCCCAACCAAATATCTGACCATGAGAACTGGATGGACCGACAACCCAAAAACATAACGCCTTTGGCTACAGCTATCGTCAGCACGAAGGCATTAAGAAATAAAATAAAATAAAAAATAATAATAAATTGGTGTGACCAAATTATGTTCTGATGAAAGCAAGTAAAAAAAGTTGGTAGCACCTGTGCCTCTAATGGAAAAGTTACACTGGAGCCATGGTAGCAACTCTACCCAAAACTACAGTTAAATCATTCCACAACCACTAACTAAGGTAACAGAACCATCTGGAAACATGGGCAATTAGAAAGCAGCAGCCGACCATGTAAGGAGAGGCAAAAAAAGGAACTGACTGAGTGACTGAGTGACTGACCAAGTGACTGAGTGATTGAGTGATTGATTGATTGATTGATTGATTGATTGATTGATTGATCCATCCATCTAGCTGGGGCTAACTGGCTAAATTTGGGAGCCGTTACACTTGCTACCCTAAGAGAGGCAGAGCAGGGTGTACCTGATTGGCTGAAAGGCAAGAGAACAGTGGCATCACCACTGTCATAAAAAGAGATATGAAATATATATTGACAGTGCAGGGCCAGCTCTTGGCATAAGCCATATAGGTGGTTGCCTAGGGCGCCACATGCTGGCGGGGGCGCAGCTGCAAAAAAAATAAAATAGAATAAATAAAATAAAATAAATACTTATAATAATTTGCAGCCCCGACTGGTGCCCTTTCCTCATACTCCAAAAAAGTAAACAACAACAACTCCCCTGTTGTTTGTCATTATTTGACCTGGCCCTGAACCTGTCCTGCACCGTGCTCAGTCATGTCACTGTGGAAGAGAGGGGTGGGACGAGTTATCTGTGCGCATCTCAGGTAGGTAGCGGTTGTGACTGACAGACAACAAGAGGTCATAATTTGTCAAATTACTGGGTTATCATCATGAAAAGACCTCCAAGCCCTCAGGTGCGACATACAGAAAGCAGAGGAAAGAGAAGGCGGAGGTCCCTGTATTGAAGTATGTCATCTTTTATAACATTAAAAAATGCCGTTTGACTTTTCATTTGTACGAACTAGCAGCTTGCGAAGTTGAAATAAAGCAAAGTTGCCTAATAATGCTACTGTAGATAATGATATGATTGCTGCCAAGGATTGAGTTAAGCTGCTGAGCTGGTTTATTGCTGTTTTTATCTGGTTAACTACTGGCTGCTTAGTGCTCCTCTCTTAGCACATTAGATATTGTGCTGAAATTCGATAACAAATAGGAACAACTGTAAAACTAATATGTGACTATATAATTGTAGTGCAACCTCTTTTATTTTAGTAATGCATAATCACACCTAGATAATAATTTATGTTATGTCGAACACATCACTGGTGCAAGTAGTAGTCCGTCTGCTGCAGCTACATGTTTTGCTTGTACTGTACAGTAAGAGGTAAATCTACTCTACATTTGTCCAAATGCACTGAGAAAATATTTGAACAAAAAGCCCTGAGAAGCTGCCACAGAGGGGCCTTCTCTGACATCTCCTCCACTCGCTAGAGAATATAAGATTAGCCAATTATTTGTGGTCTCTGATACACTGCTATGTTGTCATTTTTATAATTATTTTTGTAGTTGTTATTAATATTATTATTATAATGTCATTATTATAATAATGACATTATAATAATATAATGTCATTATAATGTCATTATTATTATTACTATTTAATGTTCCAGTTTAACCTTGTTACTAATCACAGTAAATGTAGGTCAAATAAAATAAAGTCTATTTGTACAATGGCTACTTTATATGAAGTAGAATGACACAACAGACAGTATGGATGTACTGTATGTTTGAATACAGCTACAAGTCACGCAACAAGCAGCAGCACGGCTGGATTCAGCACACCACCTCACTACCTCACGACTTCCAGTGAGACACAGCCTGAATCAGGTGAGTTCTGTAACTGTATGTTACTGCTGCAGTCATGTTTCTAATGTAAATATGGCCAAATCCAGAAACATTTTGGTATAATTCTATCAAATATTCACAAATACTCTTATCACAATATTCACATCACTTACACATGCAACTCATCGTGGCCTGTACATCTGGAGTGTTTTTGACAATTTGTCCACACGTGGAGGCTATGAAAGTCTATTTTTACAATGTCAGTAAGTTGGCCAAGCCTTTAAACATTTCTAAACCTCCATAGCGATGGAAAACAATGGGAACTGTAGCTTGCACATGGATCCCAATTTTCATTTGAATGCAATATTACCACATATTTGACTTTTTTAAAAGGAGTCCATTCAAGAATACCAACAGTATCTATTATTAAAATCTGTCTTACGTACTTCTATTATTATGATAAAAGTAGCACAATAAAATATATTTGATGACAAATACAATTTACAGGGGAAATATGGCCTAATTCAAGATATAATCAAAGTATTGGGGGGGGGGGGGGGGGGGGGGGGGGGGTAATGTATGTATGGGTAATAATGTATTTCTACTTATCTTCCTCTAAATTCGTCACTGTGATAAGTGTTACCAAGAAACATGCCATAAAGAATTAAAAACACCATTTAAAAAGGAAGTATTTTGAAATAAAAAGTATAGGCTAAAATAAAAATGATCTCCAATCAAATTTTGTAACTACTAAATCTCATGATGAAACGGAATTTCATGATAATGAGAAGTTTTAATAATTACCTAAGTCTGTTTCACAAATTGTTGGTTCATTATATATATTTTGAATAAGTCACTGCACCGTAGCAAAAGCCCCCTCATTTTGAAACTAATCAGCTCTGTAGGGTTAATGGAGACACCAAATTTGTGTGACCCTGTATGACACTACATGACTCCAAGCCAGGGCAAAATGTCAGCATCCATAGTAAAATAAAAATACTTCATGTATTAATCAATCCATAATCAATAATGTTATTTCCAGCAAGCACACAGCTCTTGCCAGCTTCTTCATAAAACTGAATGATAGACATAAGATCATCACAAACCCAGTGTGGGTGTGTTAATGTGGCATTTGGGTTGATTTGTGGTCACTGTTCATGTGAACGATGTTTTCCTACACTGTAACGTTTGTTTATAAAAAGAGACAATATTCATATGTTCCAAGATTGAGAAACATTTAGTATCAGAATCTAAGCTCCCCTCTCACCTCCATCACCGTATGTCTCCACGCCATATCCGTCCTGAAGTCCGTTACTCCAGGTGCCCTCGTACCTGGCCGGTGTGTTCAGGCTCTGCCGGACTCCGTACCGACCCTTGAACCCGTGAGTCCACTCCCCCCGGTAAATCCACCTCCCCTTGGTTTCCACGCCGAGTCCGTGGCGTTTCCCTTGCGCCCAGTAGCCCTGGTACAGGTTGCCGCTGGGCCAGGTGTAGATGCCAACCACCTCGAAACCGTTGGACCACGAGCCTGAGTACTCGCCCTGGCCCTTGGGTCCGGTGCACACACCCTGGCCGTGGGCTTTGCCGTCCTCCCAGCCTCCGCAGTAGGTGCCACCATCGTCAAAGTCGAACCGACCGCCCGTCATTAAGAAACGGAGGGTAAAAGTACTATTGTGTGGCTTATTATGAAGTCCAGGGTGTGCGAGATGCGCGGTGATAATGACAGGAAAGCCCCGGTGAGAATGCGAGCTCTCAGCGGTGGTGTGAGGAAGCAGGGAGCGGTGGCGGCTGAGCGCATCAGCAGTGCGCTGTCAGTTATTGAAAGCGGGGCGTGGGAGGGTGAGAGGCAGCCGCCACGACGGCTGCTATGGTCGCTCAATGTTGAGTGTTGAAAGAGAAGACTCTCCCACCCTCAAGTAAAGACTGCTGAGATACACGTCATGAAACAACATGGATTTCCTGTTTGAGTTTTCAAAGTAAAAGCCAGCCATTTAAACAAATGCTTAGATGTACACCAGGCTCAAGTTTTGAGGGAAACAGTAGTTAGGATACATCGGTTAAGTTTTCTGGTCACAATAGGCCTATGTCACCACAGCAGTGAAGCTGTGATATAAACACATTACCAAGGAGATCAACTGAGAAACAGTTTGTTCATAAAACAACCAGGAATGCCTGTTTTTATGCCAATCGAAACATGACAAGTCAAGGTTCTAGCCTGCAAATAGCTCATGGGCCTACAGCCAGAAATATTAAAGGGGAACAACCCTTAAATTAAGAATTCCAATATGTTATATCCATAGCCCAGAAAAGTTTAGTTCTGAGCTACTCTCTCTCAAAGCCAGAAATCAGAGAAGTAAACCTTAAACTCATGATGTCATAGGGTAGAAAGGCTGGAGCAGCTCCACAGAGTGTTCCAAGGATGACACAACAGAACTGACTGACTGAGAATCTTCACCGACACAACAGAAAGTTAAGCAATGCAGGAATTAGCATCACCCTGGTTCCCCTGACACAAAACCTATGTGATTTTTCCGTTGGATTTTGGATTAGTGCAGAAAATAAGCTCTGTGGCAAACAGACATTTATGATACTTCCACATTTTGTTCAGCAAGATAAACTTCACAAATAAACACCACTTTTATGATTTTTCAATCCTAAATGCAATCACCAGAAGTAAAAAGCAAACATTAGGCTATAAAGGGACTATACCAACCAACCACAGCATGGTTGCAAAGCCGTGGTCAACGTGATGACGTTCTGTAGTCTCATTTAGCTACTCGTTAGCAACAACACGAAAGCTTCAGAGTTAACAAGTGGGGTATTTACTGATGTATTTTATGTTGTAGAACATAGCCTATCTTGAAAGTCTCTAAAGATTGTGTTACCTCAGACCTTATTTCAGGCATCTAACCAAAAAAACATTAAAAAAAAAAAAAAAAACTGCTCCTTGTCAGCCCCTGTATGCTTTCACTGGAAGCTGAATTAGATTTAGCTCTTTAACAGAAATGTTTCCCCATGGTTTGTGTTACTGTTCACTAGTGCACAATAAATATGCTCTGTTCCTTTCACATTGGATTGTGGTGTTAATGTGCTAACTGGCTAACTAGCAACAAGATGGTCTTCGTGTGATTCTCTTTGAATGAAGAACACAGACGACTGCCATCTGTATTTGTGTGGAGAGTTACTTGCTCTCACGCATTTGGGGAACGTATGTGCTGGTTGGCTGTTGGCTGTAGTCTTTGCAGTGTGTTCATGAATAACTTGTTGGTCGCTTTCGTTTCCACTAGTTCTCCTAAGTTGGTTTGATGTGTCTGAGCTTATATTTTATAGTAGTGTTCTCATTTGTGAAACAGAAACTATACCCATATACTCTGAACTATCCCCTGGGTTTTCTCAGTGTCATCTAGACTATATTTTCCAATTAATTTGTCTATGGAACAGCTCCAGACTTTATACCCTACGACACTACAAATGTGAGTTTGAGCTCTTTAGCTTTTGGATTTAGGAGCGAGTTGTTGATGTTTAGGCTACTAATATTTTGGACCATCTTAGACCACATATGGAATATTGAAAATGGGTATAGTTCCCCTTTAAACGTGTAGCTCTGTACCTGAATATAAACAATATGATGAAATCAGACGAGAACATTTTCATGGTAATCAATTAAATTCTCATAATTTAAGAGTAATAGATGCTATATTTGCAGGGCTGTTTGCAAACAACATTCTACACATTGCTTGCATATAGTGTGTTTTGCCTAAAGTTCCACAATTCAAACATTCATCCTTTGCTCAAACTTCTAGTTTTGCTGTGTGTCAATTATTTTCCAGTAATTTGATTAAAGGTCTTTTACTGTTTTTTTCTGCACACACACTGAAATTACAACACTTATTATTGACATATTGAGTGAAAATAAACTGTAGGACTTTACCTAACTGCAGCCTCCTGGTTTGATTAGGCAGTGAGATATCTTTTAAGGATTTTAAAAGAAATTTGTTGGTAAAATAACTTTTTCAGGACTAAAATGTGGCAAATACTATCTGCAACAAGTTGAGTAGTGTAGGAATGAAATGCATCTTGGTTTCTCCCTGTTCAAAGCTGTTAACATGGCTGATTTCCAAATTTAGAAGCAATACCAGCTGTTTTCACTGTCTCACTGTGAAGATTCAATTCACTCAAACTCAAATTTTCAGTAGCAGTAGGAATATATAGTAACATTAATTTACCCAAAAGTGTGCCTGTTGGTCTGCAGGCCAGAGTGATCAACACTTTTCATATCAGAACAACATACACATATCAGGGATAGAGTGTATTGATCCGGACAGGACTACTGCTTTTAGATTTTACTATTTTAAGGCCACTAGATTAAAACAAATACAAATACATTATTAAGTGAAACAGATGTCTCTCAGTGCTTACATAAACATCTGTAGTCTATGATTTTCAAAAATCCAGTGCTGGTTAATAGGGATTATACAACGTGGTACTTATGTATTTTTTAAATCTGTATTGTCATTATGAGTAAAAAAGTTTTTTGTTTTTTTTTTCAGGGAAGAGTAGCTACTTGTCATGTCCCTTTTTTTAAACTGTATGTTCACTCTTTACTCAAGTATATTTTTGGGCCAGTAATCTTTTTTTGTTTGTTTGTTTTACTTCACTATATTCAATTCAATTTTTATTTATAAAGCCCAATAATCCAAATTATGATTTGCCTCAGAGGGCTTTACAGCATACGACATCCCTCTGTCCTTTGGACCCTCACAGCGGAAAAGGTAAAACTCCCCCCAAAAAAACCCTTTAATGGGGAAAAAAACCTCAGGAAGAGCAACTGAGGAGAGTGCCTCCTGAAAAACAGTGAGATGTCCATTTTTAAAAACTCTTTTTATAACCTCCAACACATGGAAGAAAGTTGCACATACTGTAGGTGAAAATGTAATAAGCTATTATATTATATTTATTTATTATTTAAGCTTTAATCTCTCATTTTGGTGTTATGATAATGATCCTGTAGTTTGTGGTCTATTGGGCTTTTAGATTGGTGTGCTTCAGAAAGAGGTAAAGTTGCAGAGAGTGGTAGGTTATTTATATCTTTTCTGTCAAGGCTGTCCTTGTGTTTGATTAGCCTACCTGCGCTGAACTTCATTAAAAAACATTTTATAGTGATGTTTTTCGTTATTCCATTTTCATTCTTTCATTTCTTTGTTGGACTTGTGATGCATTTGTAATGCAAACTTGTTTTTTAACAAATGAGTCAGTTAAATTGTAAAAAAAAAAAAAAAAAACATTTTCTCCCATAATTCCAGCAAGTTAATAATACTGTATGCAGTGTTGGGGAATATGTAGTTAACATGTTACTAGTTCCAGTAATTAAATTACAAAATAAATTAATTGTAATCAGGTACAGTTACTGAGAAAAACATATGCAATTAAATTCCAATTACCAATCAAATTGGTAGTGATTGCAGGGGTTACATGTGTCTTCTGTTGGCATAGAAATGTCTTCTTTTGTTATAGAAATGTCTTCTTCTGGCAGAGAAATGTCTATTCCCACAGAAATGTCTTCTTCTGGCATAGAAATGCATCTTTTGCTTTAGAAATGTCCTCTTTTGCCATAGAAATGTTTTTAGAAATGTAATCTAATGTAATAGGTTACATTACTTCAATGAAGTAATTAAAATAGTTACATCACTTATATGTTCAACACAGTAACTAGTAATCTGTATTACATTCTGTATTTCAGTAATCTACATTTAATTTCAAAAGTAGCCTTAACCACACTGATTGTACACTGATTACGTTCTGTGTGGACTCTGTGATACCGACCAAAACGGTGGTTAAATATCCCAATAATAAACCTAGGGTAACGAAGGAACTTAAATCAGTCATCAACAAAAAGAAACGGACTTACTTTATAGGGGATCCTCAGGAGAAGAAGACTGCCTCAAGAGAAGTGTGAAATGAAATAAGGAAGGCTAAAGCGAAATGCAGTATAGCAGTGGCAACCTTCAGGCAGCCTGGCATGGTATTAAAACAATGGCATCCATTAATCATCCTATTAATGAGGGAAAACAACCCATAACCCGTAAATGGATGAATGACTCAGACTTGCCAGATGCTTTTAATTAATTCTTTTCTCGTTTTGAAACAACTGACTTTTTGGAAAATGTTACCTTGCTTAAAGGTTCACCTGTACCTGAAAATGATATTGTGATATCTCAGGAATGTGTCACAAGTTTTTTAAAAAAGGTAAACATGAGGAAAGCTGTAGGTCCTGATGCCATCTGCGGACGCACATTGCGCTACTGTGCTGAACAGTTGAATGAAGTCTTTTCTAAACTATTCCAGATGTGTGCAGAACATGGCCAGATACCCACAATCTGGAAAACGTCCACCATCAAAGAATGCCAAGGAGTTAAGTGACTTTAGACCAGTTGCACTTACATCCCTTGTCATGAAAATTTTTGAAAAGGTCATAAAAGATATGGTGGTCTCCCTTATAGATGGCAAATTAGACCCCTTACAATTTGCTTACCAGACCGGCAAGGATTTCGACGATGCAAAGCTCTTTATTCTGGACAGAGTGTATAAGTGCCTGGAGAAATCAAAGTCCCATGCAAGGATTTTATTTGCAGACTTCTCATGCTTTTAATAAGATGCAGCCTCACATCTTAATTGACCACCTTGCATCCTATTTTAAAGTACCTGCTCAGCTCTTATTGTTGCTTTTAGACTTTTTAACAAACAGAATCCAGCAGGTGTTAGTGAACGGACACATGTCCAGCACCAGGCTTTCAAGTACAGGCTCACCCCAAGGTTGTGTCCTTTTTCCTTTGCTTTTTATTATGTACACAGACAGCTGCAGAACGTCACAGGAAGGTAGTTATATTGTAAAATTTTCTGATGACACTG